CCTTGGATGGCCTTTGGCTGGCCCTTGGATGGTCACTGGCTGGTCCTTGGCTTGTCCCTGGCGGGTCCTTGGATGGCCTTTGGCTGGCCCTTGGATGGTCACTGGCTGGTCCTTGGCTTGTCCTTGGTGGGTCCTTAGATGGCCTTTGGCTGGGCCTTGGCTGGTCCTTGGATGGCCTTTGGCTGGGCCTTGGCTGGTCCTTGGATGGCCTTTGGCTAGGCCTTGGCTGGTCCTTGGATGGCCTTTGGCTAGGCCTTGGCTGGTCCTTGGATGGCCTTTGGCTGGGCCTTGGCTGGTCCTTGGCTGGTCCTTGGATGGCCTTTGGCTTGGCCTTGGCTGGTCCTTGGATGGCCTTTGGCTAGGCCTTGGATGGTCACTGGCTGGCCCTTGGATGGTCACTGGCTGGCCCTTGGATGGTCACTGGCTGGCCCTTGGATGGTCCTTGGCTGGTCCCCTAAAATTCCTTTTTAAACATCTTTGTACAAAAATATTCTTGCTGTCGTGATTTCCGGACATTAATATCTGAAGAGAAGCGTTATCTCCTGGTCAGAACCTGTAACTCAGTGAAAGGGGGGAGTCAGAGTAAAAAAATATGCAAGAAAGGGGGGGATCACTGCAGTGTCTGGGAGTTGGAGGGAAGTGGGCTGCTATTCAGCTGGCGTTTGGCTGGGAAGAGCCATTTTGAATGGCAGCTACTGTAATCAGACCTAATCAGAGTCCGGTTATCGACTCAAATCTCATACTGGTCCAGAGAGTTCTAATGAGCAAAACTTTAGGTAGAAACCCGATCAGGAGGTTCTGCTGGTCAGAGGAGATCCAGATCGACGCGCCACTACAGGAAGATCCAACCTGCTGTGCTGTTCATCAACTTCTGGATGAATATCAGCCAAATAAAACCTCACTGGATGAATACTGACAGAGTGGATTTATTAATCTGAATAATCTGGACTGAAAGTTCTGTCACCTCTGGAATTGCTCATTATTTTCTAGAACTGAGCAATGATCAGAGGCTGGGATGCTGGTTAGTCGGCCTGTTTTCTGATCTGATATTAATAATAATTTAATGCCTAAAGATCTGATCATCTTCCTGTTTAATGTTTAAATGCGCCTGAGACCCTCAGGTCTGTTTCTAGTCCTTAGGAAGAAAACCCTTTAGTTCCTCCCCCAGCAAGGGGAGGGGGGGCTGCCCCACCTTTGGCATGTCTCTCTGACTCAGTAGTAAAGTTGCAGCGTTTCCAGAACCACTCGTGACAGTCAGAAGAACCTTCAGAGATGATTTCTAGTAAAGGTTTCGTCAGAACGCGGCGGTGATGAGCAGCTTTGATTCAGGCTCTGATTTCCTCGTTCAGCAGCTCCAGTTTCTCTGGTAACGAACAGCTGATCCGGGTTCAGGAAAACCCCTCTGAAGCATCACTTCACTTTCTCTTTATGTAAACACACGTCTGAGTCATGACGTGTGATCACTAAAGGTGAACTGCTCACCTCTTCCTTACTCAGAACAATCAGATATTAATATCAGCATTTAAAGATTAACGGCGTGTGTTCCCACCGCCGCCCTGCTGTTACCGCAGCGACCCGTCCCAGCGATACTCCGGTTTTATTTGGTCATGTTGGACTTTCAGTTTGCCACCATGTCACGCTCACAGAGCCAGACTGTGCTGCTAATGGAATCGATGGAAAAGCCCCTAACATCCCCACAGTTCAGCCCTGACAGGAAGTGTGCACTGAGAGCACACACACTCACACACACACACATTCTACCATCGTAGTGAGGACCATATGTTGACTCCCATTGACTTCCATTGAGTTTCAGTCATTTAAAAACCTTTTCTATGCCCTAAATCTAACCATTACCAATGCATATCTCACCCTAACCTTAACCATTGACACCTTAGGCCTAAAGGCCTAAATGCTCCTCAATTTAATGGTGAAATTG